ACAAGAGCAAAACTCGGTCTCAAAACAAACCTATATATATATATATATTTTAAAAAAATATTGTATGCAAGAAAATAGTGACATTTCAACATTGAAACCTAATATTCTTATCTACTTCCAACAAATTTCAAATTAAATTCATCTTGAAATTTTCATAAGATTAAAAAGAGAAACATTAGAATGTAACCCTCATAACTTATTAAATTTAATATTATTGTAATTCAAATTAATTGCAGAAAAACTCATGTAGTTTGGAAAAGAAAAAACTTATGCCAGAATATACAAAATATGAGTGCTATAAATATATTTACCCAGTATGGTAAATAAACTTTTCCTTCATCAGCAACAAACTCTAACACACCACAGTGAGTAATTCGATTAGTCTTTTTGTTTGTCAATTTAAAGAGCATGGGATATACAATATTTAGACGTGCTGGAACAAATAAAATGGGAACAAATTAATTATGCATAAGAGAATATTTCAATAGTATTTATTAAAGTAATGAAAATAGTTTTATTTTAATCTTGCAAAACATAGATTTTGATTTTTCAATTAAATTCATCAACAGTATACTTTATTAGCAGGATTGAGATGATAAAAGACTTGAATTTTAAAAAAAAAAATTCATTGATTTTTATACAATATAGTTTATAAATGTATTTTTAAGGTTGTCATTTGTTTTAAAATTTGATTTCAATAATATTGAAAAGATTATCCAGAAAGATTAATGAAAGGAGAGTAAACCTAAATTATTGTTTGATGTTCAATATAGACTAAAAAAATAAATAAATAAAAAGATTTTCAAAGTGGCAGGAAACTTTTAAATTACAATTTCCTATAAGTTGTATCTAAAATGATTCAATGTTTACAAAACATAATTCAATTGTACCCATTTAGTTTTATGCTTATTTAAATACAAGTATTTCTGAAAATGAATAAATGTGTAGTTAGTGTATATAAATGATGAAAAAATACTTGTTCAATTAATAGTATTTTAAAATATTCTTTTTAACTAATAGTAATTTAAAATAATTTTTTTAATACTTCTTGATATAAGTTAATTTACTCTTCCTTTGATGTCTAACTAACGAATTTGGTCTATGTCTTCACAAAATCATGTGATAGAATAAAAATAACTATTTGTGACTATTATACATTCAGATAACGTAAGATAATTTTGACCACTTTAGTTAAAAATAATAAGTATTTTGTAAATATTTTTTTAAAATAATGCTAAAAATTAAAAATACATAGTTTTGGAGGGCTGATGAAAAAAAAAATCAGATTTTTTTTTAATATTTTCAAATTTGTTTGCTTTTTTTTATTTAACCTTGTTTTTTATGAGACTGGGTCTACAGAACATTGGACATTTTTTTACACTTTTCTTTTTGTTGCAATCAACCTAGTACAGATTTTTACATTTAAATTTTGTCTTATGAAGTTATTTAAACATTAGAAACAAAGCATAGCAGTAAACTGGAGAGTGATAAGGACTACTAATTAACATAATTTAATTTGAGGAGCTGAGTAAAGTTATTACAAGTAATATTTTCATAAATCAGTATTAACTAGCGTTTAAGTTCTTTTTTGTTTTATGTGTAATGAAACAAACTTAAAAAGACTATTCCTTGCCTTCATTTCTTATCAGAAAGTTTTCAATTGGTGAAATCTGTGACCTTCATCAAAGTGCAAATTATCATATCATTTTGCAAACTTGACAGATGTAATAACAAAACATGCACTCAAATGAGAGAAAAAAAATTCTCAAATGAAAAGTTTTCTCTTGTAGTTGGCTATTTATCACAAAATGCCATTTGAACTATCTTCCATTATAATAAAATTCAAAGAGTGTAACTTAATACTCTCACTAAATTTTCCAAAATAGAATAATTTCCAAAAAATTAATAATTGTTATTTTGCTAAATTTGGAGAAAATGAGACCTTTCCTTGAGAAGGTCAATTTTTTCAAAAAAGTGCTTTAGAACTTTTTTTTCTTCAATTAAAAACATATTTCTTACAAACTTTAAAAAAGCAATTCAAGAGGGATAAAATCAGATGGTATTCTTAGAAAACTGTTCCCAGTAGAATAGATTCAGAGCACAAGTTTTCGTTGTAAAGAATAACACATGTTCTCTGGGTACTTTTCGGTTCAAAAGGTGAGAGAAATTAAGCTTTTCTTTCAATATTTCAAAACTGCCACATTGCAAAAAATACAGCATTTTTATTTATTTATATAAAATGGACAACTAAAATAATTAAATAAAAAATTGAAAAAAAAAATTATTTGCTCGGATCTGGCAAACATAACTTGACACTTTAAACCAACCAAAATACAAACAACCAAAATTGACACTTTAAGTTAGACACTTGCATATTTGAAAATAAAGCAAAATATCTTTAGCTTTTATATTTTACCTAGAAATTACTTTATATTCAATAATTATTCAAAATTTGCTATAAATAACAAAAATTCTGATCAATTGTCTAGAATTCTGTAAAATTTTGATAGAACACAATGGAAAACATGTAGTGTAAAAAATAAAATGTTCTTCAAATGCAACACATCAACAACTATAAAGTTACTAATTTCAGATTAGTACATTATCGACAATATAAAAAGTGTAGTTTAATAATTCTTATAATAGTTATTTCTCCGTAAATATTTTTATATTACAATAAAAAAATGAAAGATATCATATTTACCTAAGTGATCTAAAGATGATGGAGGCATTATGACTGCAAAATTAAAAATAATCATATGTAAATACAAAACTATCTTAACTGATTAATTAAAATTAAAAGCTATACCAAATGAGATTAATAACGTACTTTTTCCACCTCGTTCGACATCTTTTCTCTCATTTCCTGGAAGCATACATACAGAATAACATCGATACTGGGTATTAAATGGTCGAACAGGTTCAAATAACCCATTAAAAGAAAACTAAAATAATAAATTTCAATTAAAAAAAGTTATAAAATAGTAGAAACGTTTTGTTTCTACATGAATCACATTGAAATAAGAGAAATTTCAAAACTATATCTATGCACAAAGAAAAAGATATTTAATGAAACATATAAAACATTTATAACTAATTAAAATACTTGTATGATGCAAAATAAGTTAGATATTGAAGTAAATGAAATTGTCATACCATTGTACGACAGAATAAAATTTCTTTTATATTTTATAGAACTAGCTGGAATAAATGATTAATCATTATACAAAAAGAAAACTGAACTCGAAAGAAAACAAATAACAGTTATTGCCAACTTCTTTTTAAATAAATAAAAAAAATATTTTTCAACGAAAATAAAAATCTGGACAAAAAAATTCAGTAAAAAATGGAATAAAATAATTATTGAAATAATTTCCTCATTTCCAGAATTTATGCAAGTCTTGTGTAATTAATTATTATTTTTTACATCAATTTGACTGAAACCGAAACCGCTGGTAATTCCCGCGCAACTTTTGTCCGCTCTTTTTCTTGAACAACCATAACAAAGTGCTTTCTGTCAAAATATTGCAATATAATAGTTTTAAATTTAATTTTTATCTTAAATAATGGCTGGGTTTGATGAAGGTGGTGTGTTTTACAGTGACAGCTTTTTCTTTGATCAAGGAGATGGTGATGTTCAAAAAACAGATCTTCAACAGGCTAAAAAGAGATTCAAAGATTTCATCAAACAATTTCAAGAAGAAAACTATGTTTACATATATCGGTAAAATTACTTGAACTTTATTTAATCAATGTCATTTGTTTTTGAAGTAAATGCTTCTTTATACATGCTAAACATTGTCGCTGAAATTATCGATATTTTTATATTTGATATAAGCTCTAAATTTTATTTACTATTGCTATGTATTTTATTTTAATGCGTATAAATGAACATTTTCTTATGTTTTCAACTAATTTGCATAAAATTTTAGCTTTACAAAGAATGGATTAAGTATTGTTTTGGAGAAGCTGTATTTTTTCTACTTTGAGATAAATTATATTGTTATGGCAGTGAAATTTCAAAAGGCATTTTCTACAGGAACATGAGTTATATTATTGATATCAAAACTTCTGTGATATTTCCGCAGGGGTTTGTCTAGATTTTTCTGAAAGGTACCTATTTAGTTAAAATTTAGACATATTTTGCGAAAATTAAAAATTATCCTATTAAAAAATCAATGCAAAAATATGAATTTATTTTTTCTTATGGGATACGAAATTAAAATTTTAAGAAAAAGTTTTTCCTAAAGTTGAATTTGTGAAGGGACCTCTAAACAGTAGGAAATTTGGCCTGGACAGACCCCTGTTCTATAATCTAAGACGTCAAATGGATTTCAAACTTGCATATTTTTATATTTTTGTATCGTGAACTGCTGCAGAATGATTGCTAAGTCTTGACAACTTCTGGGAAGCCGCCCACTAAACACTAAAAAAATCATCTAACTCGAAGTAGATAAACTTTCGTTAAAATTTTTCCTTTAACTAAATTGATTTTTAAAAAATTCTTGAATAAAATAAAAATTAATGTGTATTGAATAAATAATATATTATAATTTCTAAAATGACAAATTCTTATTACAATGTAAATTTTATGCCAATTTTTCTATTTCTTGGGACCCAAAATTTCTCCTGGGCTGCCTGAATTATTCGCGTGAATTAAAATTTTGGTTAGAATTGTTTTTTAATAAGGGTTCTGAAGTTAGACTTTAAATAAGGGTTCAAGTTTTTTTTAGTGTCTCTACCCTGATGCAAAATAAGCTTTTGAATATGTTATTGATGTTACTAAACATTTTGCTATTAACGTGCATTGATAAAAGTTTAGGACTAATCAAATTACTCTGTGAAAGAAACTCTCTATTTTAACTCTCTCCTGCAACTATCTGTATGTTTTTAATTAGTAATTCAGACTTCAGTTTCTTATAAAAACTATATTTCACAGTGATCAGCTAAAGCAGCATTATAATATGAAACAGTACTGGTTAGAAATTGCTCTTGAAGATTTGACTGACTTTGATGAACTTCTAGGAGAAAAACTGAACAAACAGCCTGCAGAATATCTTCCTCTGGTAATTTCCAGTTTACTTGATATGTAAATTAATGCTAAAATTGATTAACATGTTTCAATATATGTTAATTACACTTTCAGTTTGAAGAAGCTGCAAAGGAAGTAGCTGATGAAATCACTCGTCCACGCCCCGAAGGGGAAGAAGAGATTCAAGATATTCAAATAACATTGCGCTCAAATGCAAATCCTTGTTTATTGAGAGAATTAAAGGTAAGTTGAAATTCTTTTTATTTATTATCTAAAATAATATTTATAACTCTATTTCTTCTACAATTTGTGCAACTACAATTTGTGCTCATCATTTGCTTTAAAAAAATTTCTACTTTGAGGGTGAGTTGCAAAATTAGTATTAAGATAAACAAAGGATGTGTAAGATTTCTGTACCATTGGCTATGCTAAGTTTGTCACCGAATATTGCTGACAATCGAGCAATGATACCTGAAAAACAAAACATGAGCATTGTGCTTGTAAACTGCATCACAAAAACCAAGCAAATTCAAAGGGTAAAATTTTTGGCCACTTCAAATCCAGTGTATAAATTATATATATTAATTTTTTACAAGTATAACAATCTGGCAATTAAGCTTCTCAATTGAAGTTATCATGATCAAGTATAAATATGAGAGTATTTTGAAAAGAATTACTCTCTTAGAAATAATTTTTAACATATGTGACGAAAATATGCATGTATATAATGGAAAAATGCATGTCTTTAAAATGCCTGACTTTATTTTAAGCAGATTTCTCGAAAAATGATAAAATTTTAGCTCCTAAATTTTAATTTTGTTACTTTTTGTACATTTTTTTCTAGTTATGAATTTAAGCTATTAGTGGCTGGCTTTTGGCTAATAATTATAATAAATCATGATTAGTGTAAAGTCCAGATTCTCAACAGCTAAAATTTAATCCCTTTTCAATTTAAAGTAGTTTTCTTATTCGATGATAAAAAATACTTCAAAGTCACCATTGAAAAAAAGCTTTTTTTTGAAAACTCAATATTTAACAAAAATAAATAGTAATGATTAAAAACAGTTTTGTAAGCATTTTTAAAAAATATTTCTTTTAAGGTATTAAAGGTTCATTAGAATTCCTGCATTCTTAAGTATTGGAGTGCTATTCTATACATTTCATTTAAAAATTGATATTTTTAGCTAATATTATTTTTTGTGGATTCTATTACAAGTCTTATTTTTAGAATGTATAATTACAATAGCCTTAGAATAATACAATGAATCTTAAAATGTTTTGCCTATGATCTTAAATTTTTACTGTTATTAAATGATCATAAAAATATAGCCTTTACTTAATTTAACATTGTAGCCTGTTTTAACTATTATAATTAAAGAAAGCTTAAATTTTTAACTGTTAGAATTTATTTTCTACTGTTGCAGTAATGAAATTTATATCTTTAATTTTTGTTTGAATTAATAATTGAAAGCATTTAAATTTTCCACTGTAGTTTTCTTAAGATTTTAATCCAATAATGACTATCTTTTCAGTCTGATCATATATCAAAATTAGTAAAAGTACCTGGGATCATTATTGCTGCTTCTAATGTCCAAGCCAAAGCAACCTGTATCAGCATACAATGTCGTTCCTGTAAAGAAATTGTTCCGAAAATTAAAATCAAACCTGGTCTTGATGGTTATAACTTACCAAGGAGATGCAACACGTAAGTATTGTGTTTTTTTAATATAATTTATACACTGTTTTATGTAGTTATTATAATTTGTGAGTGTAATTTTTTTTTAAAACATCAACATATTAATTATTAAACAATAAACTGAAATTTTAAAATCATGCTTTCTTTTCGTAATTGTTAAACATTATTCTAATTATTAAACATTCTAATTTAAATTAAATATTACTTTGTTGTAAAAGCTTTTTTGAAACATTGTTGTTTTAAAAAAAAAAATGCAAAATTGGAAGTAATATAGTAAATCAAACATAAAGATATCTTTCAAGTAGTCACTTTTTTATTCCCATCTGTAACTATGTATGTACAAAGAAACTGCATCACAAGACTCAAGATTGCTTAAATTTATTATTTTATTATTTTAAAAAAAATATCTGTAAGTATCTTTTATTACATATTAACATTGTAGTTTATCAAATAAACTAGTTAGTTTATAAATAGTTAATATGCTTAATATTTGGTTTCCAGCTGAATAGTAAATAATTTTAAACAATGATGCAGCTTCTTAAACTATTATGTATAAATTTTTTACATTTATTTATATATTTTGCAGTGATCAAACTACAGGGCAGACTCGTTGTCCAGTCGATCCATATTTTATTGTTCCTGATAAATGTGAATGTGTTGATTACCAAATACTCAAAATGCAAGAATCTCCAGATTATGTTCCACATGGGGAAATGCCTCGTCACCTTATGCTTTACTGCGACCGGTAATAAAATCTTTTTCCTTTTTTTAATTCAACAACAGCCATGTATTTTCATTCACCATTAAAGATGTGGTTAAATTTAGTTATAAATTAAGTAATGGTATATCCATATATTTTTTTTATCAATTTATTAACATCATTTTATAAGGAGGCTTTTATTTTATTAGAACATGCTAATCTTAAGATGGATATTCAGGGTTCTGTCCAGGGCAAATTTACTACCGTTTAGCAGTGCCTTCACAAATTCAACTTTAGGAAAAATGGTAGCTTCACAAAATACTTTTTCTTAAAATTTTTGTATTCCCTAAGAAACGATAAATCCATATTTGTGTGCTGATTTTTTAATATATTTTTTAATTTTCACAAATTATGTCTAAATTTTCACAAAATAGGTACCTCTCAGAAAAACTTAGACAGATCCCTGATATTATACTTAAATTTAAATTTTCTAAAGTTATGGATTATAACAATAATGGAAAAATTTTTGGATTTCAAATTCAAACTTGTTTTACATAATTTTATTAGGCTTTTCATTATTATTATTATTTGAACATCATAATAAAAAAATAAATTTTACGATGCTATTTTACTTTTTTCTGAAGTTTATCATTTCTAATTTATTGAAATGATTTTCGTAGCAATGCACTTACTGATAGATATTAAAAATTCATATAAATAAATGAAATTGTGTCTTTTACTAAAATAATTAATGTTATATAATATTTACTTTTTTTATTTAGGAATCTATGTGAAAGAGTTGTTCCTGGAAATAGAGTGACTGTTCTTGGCATATACTCCATTAAAAAAGTTTCACGCTCAAAAGTATGTTATTTCATTTATGAATCTTTCTTAGATAATCATTTCGTTTCAACCTTTATTAAGCAATTTTCTTTTAGTTTTAAGAATTTTGAAGAAATATTTTTGTATTGTAGAAAGGTCAGTCTGAAAAAGCTAATGTTGGAATTCGTAATCCCTATATCCGAGTTGTCGGAATTTCAGTCGTTACTGAAGGCGCTGGGCGTTCTACCGGAATTACCTTCACTTCGGAAGAAGAAGAGACATTTCGATTCCTGGCTAGTAGTCCTAATATTCTTGACCGTATTACCAAGAGTATTGCACCTTCAATTTATGGTTCTGTCGATATCAAGAAAGCTGTTGCTTGTATGTTGTTTGGAGGATCTCGTAAAAGGTAAGTTATTTTTATCTGTTTTAAAACTGCTCAATTAATTTTCTTGTGTCTGATTTATCTCATCACAGACTTCTGACATGATATTCATTCTGGAATGTTCTTTTTTTCCCCTCTGTTTAATTTTTCTCATTATTTCTTTAATTTTAGGTTTGTGATAAATAACGCCACTGCCAAAAATATATTAGTATTCATTTTTCTGAATGTATAATAATAATCAAATTTAATCTTTAAATTTATGGATTGATAAAGACTTAGTCTTTTTTAATATGGTTTATTGAAGGATAACTTATGAATTTTATAAGGAAAACAATTAAGTTGAGGTGTAGATATTATGAAATTAATAGAATTATGATATGAAATAAGTAAAATTTCCCAAGACATATCCTTAGCAAAAAGTCTAATCAAATCATTAATTTTTATGACTTTCTACAAAATTAGGATACCTTGTAACAAATACCATATTAACAAAGTTAAAGGTAGACTTTTCACAAAAATTCTTATTATAAACAAAGAAAACATTAAACAACCTTTGTTTAACCTTAATAAAACAAAATATTTCATAACCTTTCTTTCAGCATGTATAAAAACACATTTTAGTTTAATTTAATTTTTATCAAGACAAAGTTAAGTTTAATTTTTTATTAAAGAAAATGTTCTTTAGGATGCCTGATGGTTTGACCAGAAGGGGTGATATAAATATTTTACTTCTTGGTGATCCAGGAACTGCAAAAAGTCAGCTTCTCAAGTTTGTTGAAAAAGTCGCTCCTGTTGGAGTAAGTTTTTATTATTTATCTTCCTATTTTCCTCAATTGTTTATATAATAGTGTTTTTTTGAAGAAAAAAATTCTTATGTTCATTCATTTTCTATATTATTTGATGTATCTTATCAGTGCTATTCAATAGCTAATTCATATAACATATACAAATTGGCCAACTCTGAAACTTTTGGCCTGAATCTGTGATTTTTGTACCCAAGCTCAGGTCCTCAGGCCATTAGTGTTTGTATTTGAAGGCTTTGCATGCAGCTTCTAAAATTCATTCCTCCACATTAGTAATTTTGGATGTCTTTGATATATTCTTAAATCTTTTTTCCTCTTCCTTTTTTGTAGAACATCTTTTTTAAAACATCTGATAAATCAAACAATAAATAAATAATAAGTAACATTGCTTTTAACAAAGCATGTACAAATAATTTCATGTTTGAGATTGGTTCATGCTAAAATAGCTAATTTGAGTAATATTTCAGTTGTTTCATTTTCAAGTACCAAGTTTTTTATTGATAGTTAATCTGTGTTAGGAGAAGTTTTAGGAAAGGATGACTTTGTTTTTACTATTAAGGAAACTCAGTTTTGTGCAAAACTTGAAGACATATGAGAATTTTTTTCATTCTTTTTATAGAATCGATACAACATTGTCTAAAATCAGTAACAGAAAAAGTAATGAAGTTATGCTTGCAGTTGATTGATCAAGTTATGTTGTTTAACCATTTCTCAAAGTGATGCAGCCTGTGATAGATAATTCAGTGTCGTTGCAAAAAATCTAAGGCTAAATTCTGCTTTTCCTTGTCAAAACAAATTTCTGAGGGTTAGTTGCCTTGCTAAGTAAATCAGAAAGAGTTTCAGAAAAGCTTTTATGTAGCATTTTTATAAAATGCTTTTTTAAGGCCACGCATAGACTATTTGAGAAGTGTATCTCCCCGTGCTTTGGGTTGACCATTCTAACCTATAAGTATTAACATTTAGAACCTTAATTCAGCAATAAAACTTCGTTATTAATTACTGAAAATAAATTGTAGTTTTTTTCCTTTCATTATTTAACCTTAAAGAACAGAAAGTACATTGATAATACATTTTCTGTATTTTAAGTTTAAATATTTGAGACAATTAAATTTCTTTTTAAGCGCTTAAAGGTTTATGCAAAATAGGGTTTTTTTTTCCGTATTATTTTCACCTAATTCTAAAACCGAAGTTGCTTTTAACTGGTAAACTTTTAGAGAAACCTTGATAAAAATGTTTTATTGTTGAGAAAAATTTTTGTTGACGGTTTGCATAAAAGAAAGCTAGTCTTTAGAAACAATTTCTCTAAATAATGTACTGGCAAATTGTTGCTATAAATTTTATTGGTTGCATTGTTAAACTCTTGAAATGTCTGAAACCTTTAATAGAATTTTACTAGATTTCTTGTTTAAAAAATTTCTTCATTGAATAAAAAAAGTATCTAATCCCTCTTTTTTCTGGGAACTCAACATGATGGCAATTAAAAAGTTCATATATATCTTTATTATTGGGGTTTCGATTTGTAAATTCAATGACTATTAAAAAATTTGAATATTTTAAAAGCATAATTTTAGCTTTAGAATAATGTAGTGTTCGTAGTTGTTCTGATAAAATAGATTTTGTTGTGTTATTCTTGATTTTTGCGTCCCTACAGTACTTCCTATTTTCTTAGAATACAAATGCAGATTTTTCAATTCTTCTCTTGAAGATCTTATTTAACTATTTCCGATTCAATTATTTAAGATCTTCATTATTTATTTTATTGACAAGATCTCAGCGGATGAAGGTACCAAGTGACAATCGTAGGGTGTTTTAAAATTTATAAGAGAATGTTTCTAGTGCATTTGATAATATCTAATTGAGATGTAATCTTGGAATGCATATTTTTAGTAACAAATTAAATTAATGCTTATAGTTTTAACGAGTCTTAGGAATTCATAGATCTTTTACTGATTGGAAACTTGCAGAGAAGTAGTGCAAGGCATAAGATTCATTGTCAATGTAGAAACTTTAAAGCTAATTTAGTAAAATTCATTTAAATGTCACAGCTTTCATCCACTTAGTTCATCAAATATTTTAAATGTCTGTTTCTCCCATTATAATTGAGTTTGCATTTTTAGGTTTATACTTCTGGTAAAGGTAGCAGTGCTGCAGGTTTGACAGCATCTGTCATAAGGGATCCTCACTCTGTAAGTATATATATATATTTTTTAAAAAAAAATTAAAAACGTACACCTAATTTTGCAAATAATAAAAATTGAATGTAGTTAAACTTGCTTGATTGAATGTTTACACATTTTTTTTTTGTGCTTTGTTATAAATCACTACTAATTTTATTAATTTCATAGGAACATGTATTAAATATTGTAATTTTTTTAGAGGAATTTCATCATGGAAGGAGGAGCAATGGTTCTTGCTGATGGTGGTGTCGTTTGTATTGATGAATTTGATAAAATGAGAGAAGATGACAGAGTAGCTATTCATGAAGCTATGGAGCAGCAAACAATTTCCATTGCTAAAGTAATTTTTTTTATATAATTCACTTAGCCTTCTAGTCACATATGTTGATCAAAACAAAGTAAAAAGAATTTCCATCTTATTGCCTTTATTTCTTCTTCCAAGGCCAATTCCGTCCCAAATAGTTTTTGCCATCTGGCCCTACCTGCAGCAATAAGAAGGCTTTTCTAGTTGCCCTTATTTATTATATTAGTCCTCCTCCGCCAAGCCACTTAATTGGTAATTTTCCTTGTTTTCTGTTTCCTGTGATATTCATAAAAATGAGCTTTTTACTGAGTTTGTATTATCAGGTCGGAATTGATGTCAAAGCCATCTTAGTCTATTGCATTTTATGACTTAGACGATCTTATGTTTCTTGTACTTTTGACAAAGATTTAAAAGTTGACTTGATTTCACTGAAAGTCTGCGTTGATCCCTGCAATTAAAAATAAATTAAGCAGGTGTCAATAAAACTATGACTGTAGAACATTTGATTTTCAAATCTATAGCATCACAGTAAATAGGGGTTCTGTCATAACTAGGCCAAGAATAAACTTTGGGAAATGTGTTGTGGTGACATTTCTGTGACACAATATCATTTGTCTTTGGTATTAGTGTATAAAATTTTTACTCACTACTTATATATTAAATCAATATAAGGAATTCTTTCTGGTGTTAAAAAATTCTGTATGTCACTAGCTTTAAGATAGATGTGTGAACACTATTTAAAAATTAGAAGCTATGAAAAATTTTCAGCAAGCAAATTTTACTAAATGCCAAAGAAATTATTATTTCTTAATGAATTGAAATTTTTATTAAAAACTATTAATGAATTTTTGTGATCATGTATCATTTATTCATCTATCAGACATAAGATTCTTTCAGAGATTCAAAATTTCCCACTTTATCTTGTTTTTCTCTTATTAATTTTTTCTCTCTCTTCAATTTCAAATAAGGTCTCTGCCGAAAAGTTTTTTTTTTTTGAATTTTTCTAGATGTATTAGTTAATTGAAAAGTCTGTTTCTTTCCTTATGCCTCATCTATCAGACATAAGATTCTTTCAGAGATTCAAAATTTCCCACTTTATCTTGTTTTTCTCTTTCTAATTTTTTCTCTCTCTTCAATTTCAAGTAAAGTCTCTGCCGAAAAGGTTTTCTGAATTTTTCTACATGTATTAGCTAATTGAAAAGTCTGTTTCTTTCCTCATGCCAATGTCATTTTGTTATGTGCCTGCCTTATTAGAAAATTCTTTGGTATTTCCTTATCGGCCAGATATTTTTATTATTTTTTGTAAACTCGTTACTATCAGCCTGCATGCTTTTAGGCTAAATAGGAAATATTAAAGTTACAAGTTTCTCATTTTAACTGAAGTTTTTATAGCCTGTTTCACTAAATCTTAAATATTTAAAATGAACGAAAACAACATCAATAGCTCTAAATATTCCTTTTAAAAAAAATTACATGTTTTCAATTTTTTTTCTTTACAGGCAGGAATTACCACAACCCTAAACTCAAGGTGTGCAGTTTTTGCTGCAGCAAACAGTGTTTTTGGCAGATGGGATGAAAGCAAAGCTGAAGCTAATATTGATTTTATGCCTACAATCTTATCAAGATTTGATATGATTTTCATTGTGAAGGATGATCATGATGAAAAGAAAGATAGTGTACTTAAATTTATTTGGAAACATTCATTAATTTTTTTATTTACTGATTGATTCTAAGATTCTTTAATTTCTTTTATCTTTTTGTAGACTTTAGCTAAGCATGTGATGGCCTTACATATGAATGCTTTACAAGCTACAGAAGAGGTGGAAGGTGAATTGAGCCTCAGCACATTGAAGAAATACATTGCTTATTGTCGAATGTGAGTTTTTATTTACATTTGGTTTAGAAAATAAAACAGTTTCATATTAAACTTTTCTTTTTAAAACTATATTAAAATTTTCAATTTATTAAGATCAAGGTAATTCAATTTAATAATAATAAAATTTTCTTTAATTATTTCGAAAAGTAGGAACCATTAATTAATGTTGTTTTGGTAATTGTAAACAACATAGTTAATAAGTGTTATTTATGCTAATATTCATAATAGGTGTTTTAAATTTCTGGGTTTTTAATATTTTCCTTTTTCAATAGTGTTAAAAAACATAAAAATTACATATTTAATATTAGATCATGTATAAATATTTGTCATACTTATTTTTCTATTTAAAAATAGTTGTTTAAACCTGCTAAATAAGTTACATATAAATAGAGTAACAAGAAATATTTAAGCCATAATGATGAAATGTTAACTGAAAGTTTTTTTAGTAAACAGTGTAATACATTTCTGTTTTGTTTGTATGTACAATGACGTTTAAACACTTTTGTTTTTCTACTGGTTTGTTTTCAGAAAAGTTAGTTGGTTTATCTAATTTTAAATATTTGGTACATTAAAAATTAAACTAATTACTAATGAAATATTAATAACTTTAATTTCTTCAATGTATTAGGAGATGTGGTCCTCGTCTATCCAATGAGGCTGCTGATAAGTTGAAAAATTATTATCTTTTTATGCGTAGTAGTAGCAAAGAGCATCAAGGAATGGAGAAAAAGTCAAACATTCCAATTACTGTAAGGTAAATGCGAATGATTATTATTATTTTTGACAACAAAAATTTATTAAGATATTTGTGATAAGTTTGTTGGGTTATTCCAAGTTGTAACTAAAAAATTTAATTAAACCTACTAATAATTAAACAATATCCAAGTTAAAATAACAGTAGAACTAAAATTAAATTGGAACTATAATTAAAACGGAACTTTACTTAACTAAATGAACTCTTTCAATTATAACTTGGTCAAATAATTAAACCAAGTTATAATTTAAATAGTTCTTGTCACGGTTGACATTTGTTGTTATTAATTTACGTCGCACTAGAGCTGCACAATGGGCTATTAATGACGGTCTGGAAAACATCCCGGAGGATGATCCGAAGACATGCCATCACAATTTTGATCCTCTGCGGAGGGGAGGCACTCCCGGTTCGGTAGCCCGACGACCTGCGCCCGAAGTCAAGCACTTTACGGTAGCACAGTTTAACGAGGACCTGATACCGTACACCCTCGGTCCCTACGTAGACTGATCCAAGTGGTCACCCACTCGCACACTGACCGCAGCCAGTGATGCTTGACTTCGGTGATCTGCTGGGAACCGTGTCTTAACGATCAGTCCACTGCGGGACCAGGGTTGACATTTAAATCCTATTATTTAAACAGACTATAAATTTTTAAATCTGTATAATATATTATTCAGATAAACAGTTTATAAGATATAACATATTATTCAAAGGTGTCGATTAAACTGAGGTTTCGTTTGTCTGTTTTATCTGAGTCTTTCATATTTATGTATTGTATATTATTTTAATATAATCTTATTTAAATGAAACTTTGTTACCAACATTTTATTATTCTTAAATAATTTAAGTAATTTTTCTTAAAATTGCTTTAGTAAAAATTCGATACTTCTCATCTAGCAACCAAATTTATATATTAACACTTAAATAGAAATATCACTAGTTAATAAATTTGCTACCCACAAAGTATTCAGTTTTGTTTGTTTTCTCTTTTTTTTTTGCCTCTTTATCCCTTTAGACATAAATATTATATTAGATTTTATATTGAAGCGTTTTTAGTTTTGATGTAAAATGGCATCTTTATGAGAATGGCAGTTATAACTTTTATATTGCTGTAAAAGTAGTTAATTCTCTTCATAAAATATTTAGACAACTTGAAGCTATTGTCAGAATATCAGAAGCTCTTGCAAAAATGGAACTTCAACCATTTGCTACAGAACGCCATGTCGATGAAGCCATGCGTCTTTTCCAAGTATCAACTTTAGATGCTGCCCATTCTGGTGATTTAGCTGGTGCTGAAGGATTTACAACTGAAGAAGAGCATCAAATGCTACTTCGCATTGAGAAACAACTTAAAAAACGGTTTGCTATTGGCTCTCAAGTTTCGGAATTCAGCATAGTTCAAGATTTCTTGAAACAAGTAAGTATAAATATATGTATTTTTTTAAACAATTTACTTGCATATAAATATTGTGGATATGCTCTAGCACAGTAGTTAAGGCACTGAGCTGTAATAAATAAAGAGCTAAGATTTTTACCTTCATGCTGGGTTAAAGTTTCAAATTAATAGGTGACAGCTTTTCTTATAAAGCTTAACCATGTCTATAATTTTGTCCTTAGTGAAGTGGTATAGAAAAAAGAGGGCACTCAAATGAATAGATTCATATTGCTTTGAGAAAAAGTGGGGTGGGAAAAATTTGTCCCATCTATTAAAAAATAACCTTATCTAAATGTTTACAATTATTTTTTCTTTTAATATATTTTTTTAATTTTATTTTCAATGAAAATAATTTTCTGTTCAAAAGAAAAATTTTTAAATATTAAAATATAATCAAAATTTTAATCTTCGTAGCGACAAAAAACTTTCAAAAGAAATGTTTCCTTAGTGGGTATTGTCAATATCTTGATAAACTTTTAAGCTAATAATATTTGAAAAACCTTTCTATTATTAATTATAATGGTTTTACTTATTGTTGCTTATAATTTTTTTTTTAAAGAAATATCCTGAAAGGGCCATTTACAAGGTTCTTTATCTTATGATAAGGAGAGGAGAGCTTCAACATAGAATGCAAAGAAAAATGTTGTACAGAATTAAATAAAGACCAACTGGACTTTTTATTCAATTCGTTCTTTTATATTTGTGTTGTATACTTTGTATAATAAAATTTGTGTTTTGATAACATGTTTAATATATATATATTTTTTTTAATATATCTCAAGTGGTGAATATAAACTATCACTATTTTTAGATCTTTTGGTTAAATACAAAATTAAAAGTGTATATAATGAATATGTCTGTCTTTATTTAATTTGGTAAAAAATTAAATGGTACAAAATATTTCTTAAATCTTTCTGTATCAGTACTCACAGATTGCTGATTACCTATACGCAGTAACAAAACAAAAAAAAAAAGCTATTACTTAATTTAAGGAAATGGAGAGTTTCTTTGTGCTACTCTATTCAGGAATTTTGCAATCTGAATAAATGTAATATAAAATGGCAATATCGTGACAAAATTGAGAAAAATGTAGATGCCAAATAGTATTTGTATATGCCAAAAATATTACAATTTCCAAATAATTACCAACGTTCAGAGTAGGCGAAATTATTTGATTTCCACCCCTTGCAATTTCAAGTTGGCAATGGCATTTTCTAGCAAATAATATTTGGGATACTTGGAATGAACATGGAAAATTTTTCATGTTCTTGTTTAGAGTATGTGTAATTTTAAAACAGAATTGGAATGTTAGCACTATATGTAATGTAAACAAAATTTCAACTTCTGTCGATAATGCACTAAATAAGATTTGTTAACACATTGCTGATCGGTAACGAGTTAACTCGTGTTTTCATGGCCAAGCATTGGTGACCGGTCACGAGTCATAGCACACGTGTTAGCAGTGATCTCGTGGTGACTATTTTAAAAAGTGGGTGTAATTTTCCTTACTTTTCAAGTTTTACTATTTAATTCTCTACCAATTAATTATAACTTTACGAAACCCGATATATTTGCAAAACTTGTGGTGTACTATTACGTGAAGGTGATTGTTATACTTTTTATCATACAAAAAAAATATTAAGAGTTGAATAATAATTTTTTTTTTTTATAAAGTTTATTTATATTGTTTTACTTCCACATCCGCTTTCAATAGCCGGGCACATGGGGTAATTTTCAGAAAAGTTGCCGGTCAGCAATGTGTTAATAATAATTCTATTTTGGAAAATAAAAGTTAGTAATGATAAGGGATTTTTTCTTGCACTTCTGGTTTTAGAAAAACTGTCAGTGGGTGGGTAAAAATAATTTACAGGAATCAATAATAATTTAAATAAACTTTTTTTATATTTTGACTATTTTTCATTCTATAAATGCTCAAAGACATTTATTGAAAGAATAAGCAATATGGTTTTACAAGTTTTTATTGTGCCTATAAACTAAGTATCAAGAAGGATTTAAAATAGCTAGGGCCGATATTTTGATATCTTATTTCCTATTAACAAGCACTTCTTTACTAAAAAAAATCTAATAAATTAAACTTTTTTAAATTTTGACTATTATTTTTCACTATATAAATGCTCAAAGACATTTATTGAAAGAATAAGCAATATGGTTTTAGAATTTTTTTATTATATAGTGCCTGTTGCCTATAAACTAAGTATCAAGAAGGATTTAAAATAGCTAGGGCTGATATTTTGATATCTTATTTCTTAAAAATTTAAATCTCTTATTTCTTTAATATTTTGATCTCTTTATTTCCCATTAACAAGCACTTCTTTACTAAAAAAATCTACTTATTGAAAACAAATTTTCTCAATTAAATGACATGCAGCACTGTAATATTTATCTAGTCTATGAAACTATTTCTTATAATTGATAGTGCACAACACTATAAATTAGATTGATTGCCATGCCAGAAATCCTAATTTAAATAATCATGATTAGGCCATAAATAGAAGTTCATTATTATATTATATGAAATAAACTAAACTGTTTTAGATAATAAGTGTCAATTTAAACACAGTGAATACTCCAAATATTTTTTGTGTCATTTTATTTACATTTTTATTCTATTTCAAACAGGGTTCGCCAAGTGGGCCCACTTTGAAAAAACCCGCCCGGGTTTTATTGGGTGGGCCCACCTTGAAAAAACCCACTTGGAACAATAAGTGGGTTTTTTCAATTTTTTTTTTTTTTTTTTTTTACTAAAATTTATTGTTTCGCATAATTTATAATTTATTGTGCAGCATAAATTTGTCAAATAGAGTTGCATGATTTATATGATTAAGTTTTTATTATTAGTAAAGTAAAAGAAACTCGAATCTTCATATAATTTTATAGTAGNTTATTGATTGGAAAATTTGCAGTTATTCTCTTTTTTCCAGTGAAATGAACTTATTTTAAATTAATATAACTATAATTTAAAGCACAAAATCTATCAAGATGTGTAGTTAATTATTGTACAAATAATAATTTTTTATAATATAATAATAATAATATTATACAAATAATAATATTTATTTATTTGTAAAAAAACATTTAAGGATTCTAAAATGAAAAGAAGTCAAAAACTTTTATGTTTTAAAAATTATTGCCTTTATATTAATTTTTAATATGTTAAAAATAATTTTTTCATGTAATGTATCAAATTTATTATTCCTTATGATTGATTTAAATTTATTTAAAGTATTTTGTAATAATATTTACTAATCAACAATTTAGATCAGGGATGGCGAACCAACGGCACGCGACACAATATTTTGGGCACGCCACCGATCACAATTGTTATTGCACTATGAATTGTTATTACGCAAATGTCACACACCATGAAGCATATGTAACAATTAAATTAAAATTCACAAAAAAAAAACAAAATAATAAACAATTATTAATAGAAAAATTAACAATTAATGCTAATAAAAACAATTAATAACCATAAAAAACAAGCTTGCAATAAATAACTAGCAAAAAAATCAACAGTCCTGCTTAAACTAATATCTTATAACCTAATATAAGTTATTTGTCATTTAATCTAATAGTTGATAGTATTTAGTATTATTATTTTCCCAATAATCATGAAGTCAAAATTATATGACGGCACGTCTGTGATTTTATTAAACAATTGTTTAGAAAAAATGGCACTTTGGTGTATAAAGGTTCACCACCCCTGATTTAGATAATTTGGTTTTTGCCGGTTTTTACCATGTTTTGCCGGTTTTTACCAGGTTTTTGCCACTGTCCTAGCAAAAACCCCTTTTTGGCGGAAAAAACTCCAACCCTGAAAATAAGTATAATATAGTTGTGCCATGTACTGATTTCTGATTGGACAAGCTTTATATTTTTTTTTAGCTTTACATTTACATTTTGAATTTTTCCCTTTATCTTTGAATTGCACTTACAAAAAATTTAAATAACTTTTGAAATTCTTATTTTAAGTTTTTTCTTTTGTAGGCATTTGAAGATAATATAAGAAAGAATCGTTCAAATATCAGCAATTGGATAAAGTATGCCAACTGGGAAGAAAGTCAAAAAGAAATCAACAGGTATCTTTGATTTTTTATTCTTTCTAAACAGTTCTTTTGATTTAACAATTCATTCGTTATGAAATTTACCAATGACTCAATAAAATAAAAAGAAATTAAGTCACTATTCGTTTCCAGTCTACAGATCAAGTAAACCAATCTAATTTGTTGATATTCTGATTTTTGAACAAAACTTAAACTTTTAAAAGATTAAGTTGCTTAGACTGTCACATTAAAGATAGTTTTCATATTGAGGTATTTCAAATTAAATGGTATACGTAAAAAAAAAGGAAATCTAGGTCAATTGTCATATTGCTGTCTTCTATGTTGAAATGAAAATAAGTATATCATATTGAAGATAAATAGATACAATATATTAAGAAAAATAAAGAAACAAGCTCCCCTTTTATTGAATCTGGGTACTAATTAAATCTAGTTGAGCGAGTAATCGAGTAACTAATTTGTTGATATTCTGATTTTTGAACAAAACTTTTAGAAGATTAAGTTGCTTAGACTGTCACATTAAAGATAGTTTTCATATTGAGGCATTTCAAATTAAATGGTATACATAAAAAAAAGGAAATCTAAGTCAATTGTCATATTATTGCTGTCTTCTATGCGAAAATGAAAATAATTATGTCAATGATCATATTGAAGATAAAGATATTTAGAAAAATAAAGAAACCAGTTCCCTCTTTATTGAATCTGGGTAGTAATTAAATCTAGTTGAGCTCTAGTTGAAACAGAATAATGAAATTGGGGAATATGATTTTATTTTAGTGTTTGTGGAATTGCGAGTATAGTTTTCATATTGAGGCATTTCAAATTAAATGGTATACAAAAAAAAAAGGAAATCTAGGTCAATTGTCATATTATTGCTGTCTTCTATGCTAAAATGAAACTAATTATGTCGATGATCATATTGAAGATAAATATATGTAGAAAAATAAAGAAAGCAGTTCCCTGTTTATTGAATCTGGGTAGTAAATAAATCTAGTTGAGCTCTAGTTGAAACATAATGATGAAATTGGGGAATATGATTTTATTTTAGTGTTTGTGCAATTGCGAGTATAGTTTTCATATTGAGGCATTTCAAATTAAGTGGTATAGGTAAAAAAAGGAAATATAGGTCAGTTTTCATATTATTGCAGATTATATCTTGAATTATCAAAATGGATAATAATTACAAGCATTAGGCATGCAATTAAATATAAAGAGTATACTATATAATAAATGGTAAGAACAGTGCACGAAATAAAAAAGATATCTTCCGGAATAGCTTCCGTTCTAATGATTGCAGTGTTTTCATCATAGAAAAAAAATGGGTGAGAATTTCTCACCCTTTCTCAAAAACAGGGTGAGATTTCAAAAAGTTAAGTGAGATTTCTAAAAACTAAAAAAACACAAAAACTCTTGGAAAAAAAATTTCTTTAATTATAATACATTTTTAACGTCTTCTATTTTTTAAAGCATTGAATATTTTTGGTGCATCATCACAGAAGATTTTGCCTTTACAAGGTATTTCTCCATCTTACATAAGTGCATAAAAAATTTGAATGTCTTACATGAAGAAACCTTACCTACGGTAAACACGTGGTTACAGAGAAATCTGTTCTGAAAGGGGTTCGGTGGTTCAGAGGGGTTGTGTTCTGTTGTTCGAAAAGGTTTTAAACAATACTGGTAAATAGTGAAGCTAGATAATGGGGCAGATGTTGAAAATAATGAAAGATTCAGGTAGAAAAGCGAAACGGATTTTATTCTAAATGGCGTAATTCGAAACTTCTTCCCAAATGCGAGAAGTTCGCGAATTTTCAAATTGATTTATAAAATGCGCGAATTTCTCGCGGTAATCATTTTTTAATGCGGGAAAAGAAAAAATATGCGAGATTCTCGTGTTGTAGTGAAAACACTGGATTGGGTTTTCACAAACTGTGGTGTCACCAAGGGTGCCACTCTTCAGTCCTGGGGACTGAAATCAGTCTTGAAAGAAAATCAGTAGATGAAGTTTCATAAATTAATATCTCTTTTAAATTTGTTTTTAATATTAAAATTTATGTATTTCCTTAAAAATGTAAAAAATTTTTGCTGTTAATTAAAAATAAAAATTGCGTTTTAATGTAAACATTGGTAATCTTTATAATTACTGTGAAATGATCAAGTAATGATGTAGCTCATTAATGAAAAAATGAGATTGAACTTCAACGGTTGCTTGCTTAAACAAAATTTGTACCATTGTTGTATCTAAATTTTCTTGTATTTATTTTTCCGAAGCATCTTTTAATGCTGACCCAAGTTAAATTGAGATTATTATTTTTTAACAAAAGTAAAAATTATAGAGATTGGACAAAAATTAAATAATGATGAAGTGAAAAAATAAATAGAGATATGTATAGCTTAGAAAAAATTAGTTGTTTGTTATTCAGTAGTTGATGTAAAAAGATGTACGAGGTTAGCTGTTATTTTTATCTAGTTTGCTTTGAAAAATAAATTAATGAAATGGAAGGAAAAAAACTTGATAATTATAATATATAAGTTCTTATTATAGAAAGATGCATTCTTTAGTCGCTGAACTGTAAATGTCTGAAAATTCTAGTAAATAATTCCAGATTGTGTTCATTTATCAAAAAAATAAGTTCCGTCTTGAAATATTTTTAGAGTGACGCCCATGGGTGTCACCAATGTGGGGCTAGTAATCATCTACAATGTCAACTTTCATCTATGAAAAGATATACCACTATAGAATCGAGTTAACATGTTTTATATACTAGGGAATCGGAATTGAATTTTTGTAGTGGTAGATACACTTCAGTTCTATTATATTTTTAGCTCTATGCCTTAATTTTATAATTTTATTTTCAGGGCTCGTTCTGTTTACGAAAGAGCTTTGGCAGTTGAACACAGAAATGTTACCTTATGGCTGAAATATGCTGAAATGGAAATGAAGTAAGTTATAATTTTAAAATAAAAAAATTTTATCACATATTTTATCCTAAAAAGTTTGGAAAAAGGACATTTTAGAGTACTTTTTAAAAAAATGGAAGGAAGCTTTTAAAAAATACAGGGTGGCCACCCACCTGGAAAACCTGAAATTATCAGGGAATTTTTTTATACTGGAAAAATCAGGGATTTTTTAAAGAAAAGCTGGAATTTTTTCATTGATTTGTCTTAATTTTACGAATTTAAATTATTTACTAATTTTCTTAATTAAAATTATTTTACCAACCGTTATACCCACTTTTAGAGGAAAATTTATTGCCAAAACAGTTGAAAAACCATCTGCTTTGGCAATAAATTTTGGCCTAAATTTTTTATTTTGAAGCAAGCAAAATATTGCTTGCTTCAAAATTTGATTCATTGATGGTCTCCCATGGTTTCTTAAAAAATAGAGAACCTTTCCAAGTCACCTCATTCCCGTAAGATGACCTGTGACCACTCTATCCTGTGAGCAGGGCTGATTGTGTTCCGGAAAAATCCGGATTTCCGGAATTTTCGCTAACAGTGTTCTGGAAGTTTCCGAAGATCGAAGGTCCAGACGTTTAAAAAAATCATTGATCACAGAAGTTTCTGGAAATCAAATTTTCAAAGTTGGAACTTAAAAACACAATTTATTTTATTTGTTCGTAAGGAAGAGACAGAGGGATACTTCATAAGCTTATATTCGTGATTAATATTAATTTTTTATGAGTAAACAGTTGTTATAATCATAAACTCAAGAAAGAAAGATTTCCGTAGTTGCTACGGAAATTGGAGGTAAACTACGGAGCTACGGGTGAATAGTAAAATACTATGGATTAAACGAAAGTGCCTGTCGAATCTATCCGCTTCCGCTGTTGTCGTCTTTCAAGCATGGTGACGTCACTGATTGCGTATCGCCGAAAATGACGTCATGAGTTGTTAGCCTTGGTTGGGAGAAACCACGTGATTATGAAGGGTTACTCATCGGCGATGCCATTGTTATCTGCCTGAATGCAGCTGTTCTTTGAGAAATTGCGTTAGTTTTTTGCTTTACACCGTGTGAAGTGAAGTGACTTCAATAAAAAATTTTGAAAACAACTTTGAATTTTGCTGCTCCGATGTTAAAAGAATGATACGTTTTTGTTTGAAATTTTAGATTATTTTTCATCCAGCTTTTATCGCGTTAGTTTTTGAGTTGTGTATTTATTATTAAATTTTATTGTGATGGATCGTTATTTGAAAAGATCTAATCAGGATCGGGAAGTTTCTAATGACGATGGATTACGAAAGAAGAGGAAGAATAATCAAAAGTTTAGAGAGGAATATACTAAAAAGTTTCCTTGTTTAGTATCGGGAAAAGAAGGCTTTGCGAAATCCACTATTTGTGGTTCGGAATTCTCAATTGTCCACGGTGGACTGGATGATTGGGTATAATATGAAAAAAACACAACTACTTGCACTTCAAAAATTTTACTAGGAATAGCATTTACCTTTTAGTTTAATTAATAAGCCGAGTTTTAAATATGTTTACTAAATTCATAAAACTAGATAAAACAACAAAATAATTTATTTAAAAAAGAACTAGACTAACCTGGTGAGTAGCAACTTATAACAACACACTTCGTTTAATGTTTACTTATTGCTAGAAATCAGGTTCGCAGAAAATGCTGTTTACTAGTTAAATTTAATAGGAATAACACGACCTGTGACGTAGGCTATAGTATACCCAATTGTCGCCGACACGTGATCAGTCCCAAACATTGTGCTACTGCAAAAGAACAGGTGCATCAGCAACCTATTAACAATTTTTATTCTTCAAAATTAGAAGAAAATGGAGTGATTAAAGCTGAAGTATTGTTCGTACGGTTTTTAATTAAGCACAATATTTCTCTATCTGCTTCCGATCATTCTGGCGCCTTATTTAAAAAAATGTTCCCAGATTCCGACATTGCAAAAGAGTATGGGTGTGGATATACCAAGACCCAGGCAATAACTGTTTCCACTGCTGAGGGGATAAGAGAGAGTACTCTAAGTAAGCTCAGAACCTCATTATTTTCTCTTTCCACTGACGGAAGCAATGGCATATTAGATAAAAAGCTATATCCTTTAATTTTTATTTATTATGATGAAGAAAAAGGACAAATCGTATCATCACTGGTTTCTTTATCTGAATCAACTAACAACACTGGTGAGGGAATTTCTCAACTTCTTGATGGAGAGTTTAAAAAATATCTGCTGAAGTGGGAGAGTTGCATAGCATTCAGTTCTGATAATGCTAACACAATAGCTGGATGTAATAAAGGGTGTTTTGAGCTATATAAAACAGAAGCAACCAAATATAAAATTCATTGGATGTCCTTGTCATTTGGTTCATCTAGCAGCTCAAAAAGCTACAGCATCATTGCCGTTGATGTGGAGAATTTGGTGATAAAAGTTATTTACTACCTTGAAAAGAGTAGTATAAGAGAAGTATGAATTTAAAAACAGTCAGATAGAATGTGATGTGAAACTTCACAAGATTTTAAAACATGTTTCAACTCGGTGGTTAAGTTTAGAAAATTCTCTAAAGAGACTTGTTGAGCAGTGGGACCCATTGCTAATTTTTTTTCACAGTCTAATGTTAAAGAGAATGCTAGCTCAGAAAAAATAAAAGAGTTACTTAAATCAAACAAAACAAAGATATATTGTGTTTTTGTTACATCGATATTGCCTGTATTCACCAAGGTAAATGTTGCCCTGCAAAAAGAGCAACCTTCTATCCATACTTTGTATGATGATTTAATGAGCTTATATTATGAGCTTCTTGTACGATTTGTTTCGCCTTCTACCATAAGCAAATCCAAGTCTTCTCTGTTACAAGCGAAATTTCAGAAACCCAAGTATCAAAAACCTGATGAGTCTCTTATAATAGGATCAAGTGCTAGATCCATTTTGAGTGATCTGACGCCAGAAGAAACAACTGAGTTCTTTTTGGCAGTGCGAAAGTTTTTTGTCACTGCATGTGAATATATTCTCAAAAAGTTTCCTTTAGAGGATGATTTTCTTAAGCATGCTACTGTGGCAAACATTTTGAATAGGCAGAATGCAAATTTTGCATCTCTTAAGTATTTTTATGATTTGTTTAATTGTGGTATTGACATTGATCAACTTGAGTTAGAATTTGCCTTTTATCAGGCAGACAATTTTCCTTCTGAAATTTTAAATCATACCAGAGTAGATGAGGCATGGCATAAAATTAGCCAGTTAAAGGATAACAATGGAATAAAGAGATATGTGGCTTTGTCAAAAATAATGCTTTCAATTCTGTCAATTCCCCATAGTAATGCTGGATCTGAGAGAATTTTTAGCATGATTCGTAAAAATCAAACTGATAATCGCTCAAGTCTGAGTACCAAAACATTAGAATCAATTCTAATCACTAAATTAAGCATGGGAGTTTGTTACAATGCACAATTTACTGAGGATGAGTTAAA